CCACCCTTGGTTGACGAGCGCTGACAGTATGGCATTAATCTCGACGCTGTCAAACGCTTTTTCATAGTCAACAAAGGTTAGGACGAGAGGTAGGCGGTACTCTCGGCAAACGTCGTTAATCCTCCGAACTGTCTGGATGTGATCCACGCAGCTGAATCCCTGGCGATGTCCCGCTTGTTCTACAAGTTGGGCCTCATCCAGTGTCCTTGATATGAGAGCAAGAACCATCTTCGTAAAGAGCTTGCAAAGCACGCTTAGCAGGAATATTGGTCGGTAGTTCTAAGGTCCCTCCCTATCACTCATGAAGGCGATGTGCTTAGCTCGTAAGAGGTTGGCTGAAACGTGTTCCAGTCGCGGAGCCGTGGCTGCCTTCATGGTTTGGATTGCGACGCGTTCTTCAGCAGGTAGAATCCGTTGTGTTATTTCTCCAGTGGGAATAATGAGGTTTGACACGGGCGTCGACGAGCGAAAGAGAGTGGTGTAGAATCCCTGCGTGATCGATTCCATCTTTTGTCAGTCGATTGCCTGTACTTCCGAAGAAGTTCTTCCAAAACTGTTTTGCCACTGGTAGTGGCTACCAGTCGCTGTATGTCGGATCCAGCCTCTTGCTCTTCTCCGCTCCAACAGTTCTTTGATGGCTTTCGAAATTCGTTCCAAGTTCTTCTGCGAAGCACTGAGGCAGTTCTCTAAGAAGCAGGTCGTAATCTTTCGCCGGATCCTTCTCGATAGGCCAGTCACAAGTGTCCAGGAGCTCCTCCAATCTGATGCCGTCATATACGACTTCTCTCCTTCCTCCAACACGGTTGCAGATCTTTTCTTCCAGCTTTCGGTTGGATCGCACTTTCGCTCGAAGGAGGCAGTGATCGAGCCAACTGAAGGATGGTGCCTCTGAGACGTCCAGTAGGCACCACCTTTGGTTGGTGAGAATGTGGTCGATCGCCGCATGAGTCGTACCGTTGGGTGACTCCCATGTCCGCCATGTATTCTTTCTACATGAAAATGGAGTTGCCATGAAAAAGTCCGAAATCCAACGTCCTGTGCAACTTGACACTGTTCTTGATGACATCCGACGCTGTAGATGTCCACGGCTTCTTTTTTTCTTAAATGCTGTACAGACAAAGTAAAGGTTATCTCCTCAAACATTAGCAGTGCCTTGCGGGCCCCGCCAAGCTTTCACCATAGGCAATCGCTGACCTTATGTGGATCAAGGAGCCACTTACCGACTGAATGAGCCGACGGTGGTGCTTCTGGCATGGCCTACTCTTAGCTGGGCATCTATGGAACCGGAAACGTCAAACTCCTTCTCAGCTTGGGAGACCCTGCTGTAAGAACTCCGCTGTTCTTCGCAGTTCGATAGCCAGAGTCACCCCCGCGCCGCGATGAAACGGTAGACCATTACGGGGGCTTAGAGATAAAGTCATCGGGTTGGAATGAGAGAGGTA